AAAGTCATTATCAATACAAATTAATCAAACCCAAACACAAGTCACAAATATGTTACCAATTATAGGTTTCTTGAAAATTACGAGTGTCTCCATACAAACTTATACCCCTGTTTTAGGGAAGTGGTAGGTTAGAAAGAAACAAAATGTAGCCTATGCTTTTCATTTCAGTCCTTTTAACTATCTCCACTCAACAAAAAATCATGTCAATTTGTAACATCTGAGATATTTTTGACAAGTGATGGAAATCAGTTGTCAAAAATATGTCAAATGTGCAAATGAATCATTCACAATATATCTTTTTTTTGTTATCATGCGGCTACATTAAGGTATGCAAAGAGGCTGAATACTAATATTGTTAACCACTTAACCTATATTATTGAAATTCAGTTCAATGAGAGTTTGAGACACTGGCACTGGAAAGCACATATGATTGTTCTATCCCAATAGAACATTGGCGCAGGCATACATTTTCGCCGCGCCGTAGAAAGAGAGGGATCCATCTTACGAATTCTCGATCACCATTCTCGACCATGAACATTTTTTACCCTTTAAAAAAAAGTGTACACCGCCGCTAAAGAAGTTTTCACTTCAAAAATCTTTATGGCTCCCATGGAACTTTGTGACATTATTCCTTAACACTAGTTTGGGTTTCGTAAGATGTACTCTACAGTTGAGCAAATGTACTTAGTTCACCAAGAAATTAGACGTTGCTTTGAAGGTAAACTATACTACTCGGCGGCATTCCTTCAGCAAGCCTTTGACCGGGTTTGACTAGGGTCTACTGCGCAAAGTGAAAGAGAAACTGTCACATCCTTTCGTCAAATCGTATGTCGAGGACAGACTTTTTTCAATTGAAGCAGAGAGACGCTAGATCTACTTTACGCAAAAATACTGCTGGCTACTACCACAAGGTTCTGTACTTGGCCCTATGTTGTACAATATCTTCACCTCTGACTTACCGACATCTCATGACGTGGTTGTTGCAACAAACGCTGATGACGTAGCCTATCTTGCTACACTTATTCATGGATGAAAAAGTGGCGAATCTGAGCAAGCGTCAAAAAATCAAGAAGGAAAACCTGCCCACCTGTCAAACTCGGCGCCGATTCTCTAGCAGACACAAAATATATAAAGTAGGTACTTGGGTTTTCATCTGGATAGAAGACTCACCTGAAACTATCACATAAAGAAGAAAAGAGATGAAATCAATATAAAATTTAGAAATCTCCTCTGGCTTATGGGCAGAAACTCAATCTTGTCTGTTGACAATAAGTTCTTGATTTATAACTCAGTCCTGAAATCCATTTGGACCTACACTATCCCGTTCTGGGGCTCCACCAGCAAGAGCGATATAATGTGCCTACAACGAGTATAAAATAACATCCTACATACCATCGCAAATGCTCCGTGGTTCTCCAGAAATGACGAGATACACAAACATCTCAACGTTCTAACAATTCAATCAGAGATAGACTGATACAAGTAAAAGTATGCGGAACGCCTAGCTGTTCATCCCAATGACCTGGCAACTCAACTCTTATATCCTTCAGCCATAGTCAAAAGATTAAAGAGAAAGGATGTCTTCTGAAAAGGTAGACGAGGCGATGGCCTCGTCGTCTTCCAATAAACATCCGTCGACTGACAAAAAAAAATTTTTTTTGAACTTACGGAAATAAACACCATTTGACAATAAATATAACTGAATTGATTCTGATGAGATTTGTTACACAGCATTGGAATTCACCTTGGAAAAGACTTATTAAAACATACAAATTTTCCCGAAGCCATCATTATACGTGGACGATAAGTCGCGGGGAACAGCTACTTTATTTATAAATGTATTGGAGTTTTTGTCTTTAAGGATATGCCATCGTACCTTATTCTAAAGTGTACACATAAATTACAATATTTCGATATTTTTGTTTTTGGGAAATAAATATTATTCTTATTCTTGTATCTAGGTAATTTAATTACATTATTTCAACACATTTAGTAAATAACTACTAATGACTTTTGGACAGTTTTTATCAGTGTATACATCGTATCGTTTAGCCGCTTTAGAAGTTGATTGTGCAAGTTGTGCAAGTTTGAATTCTTGTAAAAAAAAATTGCTTTCATTCCTGTTTTAGACAAATTCCACCAGTAAATGTTGCATATCTTCTATTGTGTTGGAAATAGAACAGTTTGGAGAGTAATTTTTTTTCATCAATTAATCAAACTTTGCTGACTAGTGTCCGGACCTGAGTCCGAGAGCAGTTTTGATGTACTGTCTACTTAATCTTGTTTCAGTAAATCACGAAGTTTGAGGAAGCTCACCTTGTATGGTTTTATACAAAATTGCCATAGCAATTAATGCAACGTGCATCTTCTTCTGATACTAGGCATCCATCGTCGGGATGATCCTGACCACACCTGAATCAACGCGATTTGGAGCGGTATAAAATGCTGGTGTACCCAAAACGACAACAGTTGTAACATTGTATTGTTGGGTATGTATACAATTCCACTGGGAGAGCAGAATAAATACAAAAACCTTTCCTTGGTAAAATATGCCCATAATGATGTTGTTTAAATGTCTATCACTGTTTAAATGTCCCAACCGTCGATGCCATATACTGCTCGATCACAGATATAATAAAGATGTAATATTTCTGTGTGCTCGATGCTACTGCTGTGGCTGCTATGTTTGTTCTGTCGTTGAAGTTATTAACTTATACATCCCATCAACTAATTCTGTTATCCCCAAAAGTTTTTTCTGTATCAACTTTGCTTGGGGAACATCAAATCAGGGTTATGGGCTGGCCTGCTCAGTCCCCCGACATGAATCCCATTGAACACGTTACAACGAAGAACCATGGTTAATTTTTATCTAAATTCGATAATGGAAGAACAACTTTTCCTGCACTTGAAAAGAACCTGGGACCTGATACCACAACTCGATTTGGATAACTTAATTTTGCGCATGAATAACCTATGCCGAACTCTAATTAATATTAGGGGAGAAGATACTGATTATTGATTTTAATTAACTCGTCGAGTACCGGTTTTATAGACACAATTAAAGAACAATAGGTCGCGGTCACCGGTGACCGCTTGGTGTTTGACAGTTTAAATGCCTTTCTTTGTTATTTTATGACTTTAATTTTCACAATTTCCTACATAAAATCCATTTTTTAAGGGGGGAAAATCATCGAATGACTGCTCCCGCCTGTTTGAGGCGGAAGGGAGTGTCAGACTCTTACTGACTAAAAATCGGTTATCCGTTAGGTTCTCCGCGACACATATAATCCATTAGTACCTGCATATAAAGTAAAAATTACAACTAAAGTTAAAATCACAAAAAAAACCGTTGCTGCTCCTCTTTTTATGTATTGGAGGTACCAACCATAATATGTATAAACTTCAATTTTATATACAAATATTTGAGCATCATATTTATTTTTGCAAACACCACCTCAGCTGTTACCCACGACTTAGTCCGCGGCAATTTCTCTTATTATCTTAGACAATTTAGGTTAATTTTTTTAAAAGAACATAAATATTTAAAACTACTTCTGCGTAAACTATATTTTTGGTTTATTTTCTTGTGGCAGAAGAACATATTGGTTTTTTCTGCAACTCGATCTTGACAATCCGACATATAGCTGGCCGTGTGCAATGCAGTCTTGGCATAAATCGATTCCTACCTGTATGTTTAATGTTTGCCCCTGTGATTTATTAATTGTAACGGCGAAAGATAGCTTAACGGGAAATTGAAATCTTTTAAAATTAAAAGGTAAGTCAATTGCTGTTAAAACTATTGCAACGATCACGTTACTGCGAAGAAATTTAATTTGAAGTCGGGTCCTGTTACATAAATTTGGTTGTTTAAGATTTCTAACTAAAATTATTGGGGCACCTATTTTTAACTTGAGGGAATATGGGGGAAAACCACTTAGGTTCAAAGAATTAAGAAACTCATATGGGTTAAGAAACTTATATTATTGGAAGCAAGTGCTTCCAATAATAGTTATGACGCCTAAACGCACGGAAATTTGTTCTACATTCCACAATGTCCGTATAATAATCTATACCTGACTAAAAAAATAAATTATTTTATCTATTGTTACGTTTATATTGTCAGAGATCACACTCCCAGAGTATTTGATAGGCCGACTGCTCGTATTGCAATGCCGCTGTCGAACATTAGCACCATGGTGAATCAACAAGTTTAAATGAGAACAATTTGCTTCTAAAGTAGTCGTGGCCAGTAAGAAATTGGGCAACACAATGATCTACCTCCAACCATGTCCTCTCCAGCCGCTCATGCACGGATGGGAAGAACTGAACTAAGGTGGCGGCTCTTAATAGAAGTTTCCATCTTCACTGCCATTCAGTTATAAGTTCATCCCAGACGTCCGTTAACGGTTTAAACAATTCAGCAATTTTGTTTCAATCACGTTGTGCTAGAAAGCTTGCAGACAAATTTGGTTTCGCATTGTAGTACATAGCAGCACGTCGCTGCACCACAAGATCGACCGGAAGTACGCTCGCTAGCACATGTAGGATCTCAGTGCTAGCCGTTCTATAAGCCTTACACAGGAACATCAAGGCTAGACGCTGGCCTTGGAGAAGTTTTCGCCGTACCGCGCTTATTGTGGCCCTATCAGCCATCAGCCCTAGCTAGCATACGCATCCTCGGTAGGTTGCTCCGTATATAAATAAACTGATTCGCATTACTGACACACCCATTATGTAGGTTTCAAAGTCAAAGAAACATTAGTGAATTAATAATAGTCAGTCGTAAAGTCGTAACTAGGAGCGGGCGCGACGCACGCTCTGGAAAGTTCGATACAGCAGGACGTTGGACTTATGTACTTTATTATTATTGTTACAGCTAAGAACAGATGTAACTCCCAAGACTTGTGGAAATTTCCGTGCCCTCTGCACTGGCGAGAAGGGCTTCGGTTACAAGGGATCCACTTTCCACTCTGTGATCCCCAACTTCCTGCTCCAAGGAGGTGACTTCACAAATCACGATGGTAGTGGTGGCAGGTCCATCTACGGTATGAAGTTTAAACACGAGAACTACGCCCTGAGGCACACTAGACCTGGAGTCGTGTCAATGTCCAATTTTGGTCGTAAAGCCAATGGATCCCAGTTCTTCATCACCACCATTAAGGCTTCCTGTTTTGATGGCAGATACGTCGCCTTTGGCTGTGTTGTTGAAGGCATGGATGTTATCAAGCAGATTGAATCCTATGGCTCCCGGTCTGGCAAGACCTCAAAGAAAATCATCATTGGTGACTGCGGTCAACTGTCCTCTGTAACAACATAACAATATTTTTTAAGTTTTGGTCCTCCCAAGTAATACCTTCCCAATCTTCAAGAGAATTGAATATGGTTCATTCCAATTGTGGTAAAACTTGGGATTGCATTTATTTCTGTACATTGTTTATTCATAATAAATTAACTTATATAACGTCATTGTATTTTTAATAAACCCCTATAATTACTTTAAACAGCCATCATCAATAGCTGCTACTGACTAAAAGTACTAGTTGATGTAACAAAATGTATAATTTTGCTAATATCGGCCCAATTGGTTACTATATTAAGAGTCGAAGAGGTTTATTTACTTTGTTATGTAATTTTCCTGTAACACATGAACATTTATGTTTCATGAACATTTATGTTTCATATGTATACATATATGGGATGCCAATGCCCAATAGCAATAATTTGTAATTTCATAAGTAAACTAACCTTGATCAAACATTATCGTGACGTTACCTACCTACATTGTCGTAGTCGAGTTAGTTTTTTAGTTTTTTTTATTAGGTACACTGGAAAAGGGAGGAAGACTAGGGAGTGGATATTTACTTCAAAAAATTCATCCTGGTGGCAATGCTCAGCACTACCTACATATATGTAGATATTCACCATGCTTCATACATACCTAGCTAGGACCTACTTCAGTCACAACACGGATACGAGTAGTATTTACCTACTTATACATGTAAGTTATATAAATGTATGCGTTCAATGACCTTTGCGGTCATGTAGGACATTCAACAATGAATAAAGTAAGCTACATTAAAACGAATGGATAAGTAAGTTTATAGGTATTTACACACAACAAATGTTTAGATGACAGAGCTATGTATATTGTTTATCTTTGATAGAAATTCCCACGTAGGTAGGTGCCGTTGGTTGGATACTCTAAGTAGGTACCTTTTTTTTAACGTGTGTAAATCCTCATGGATACCCTTTGTCTAGACAATGAGCGTTAAACAGCAGGTTATGTCGGACTCTTACCGACTAAAACCACACAGTCAATCCCAGAAAACAAAGAGAGAGTCACTGGGTACTCGAATGAACGAACTCACCTGCGACACTCAAATTATGTTACTACCTCCTATCTATTCGGAATTAAATTCTAAGTAGGTACCTAATGATCAGAAATAAATAACCATAAGTACTTAGTTGTGTTAGGTTCCTAGGCCTTCTTTAGAGCGAGAGGAAATATCAGACTTACTTAATAAAAATCGTCCCGGTAACCCGCAAGGACGTCGCGGAGAACCTAACGGGTTACCGGGGCTCCGGCTCGACGTGCAGAGGACGGAACGGGGTGGTTTTTAGTTAGTAAGAGTCTGACACTCCCTCCCGCCTCATCCAGGCGGGAGCAGTCATTAGATGATTTCCCCCTTAAAAAAAACCCGTAAGGACGTTCGCAGCCCTGACCCAGTTCTTACTTAGTATCAATTTATTAAGAATTACACAAACAGCATGATTTAATAGTATTAAACTGTCAAACACCAAGCGGTCACCGGTGACCGCGACCTATTGTTCTTTAATTGTGTCTATAAAACCGGTACTCGACGAGTTAAAATGCATTTTATTTTATCAATAAATGATAGGAAAGGATGTGGTGTGAGATGAACATAGAATGGTAAGTAAGAGATCACTCAATCGTGAATTCACAATGAGCAACGGAGCAACCTGGTTACCGTATTCTCTCTGGTGAAATTTGCTCGTGTTATTCTTCGAGGAGCGACCTTAAATCTTAGGTCTATAGCTTACTTACTGCGCTAATCTTGTCTTAGTAGAAATCAGATATAGGTAATATAAAATAAAATTAGAACCAATAACTTACCTATGTTACCTACATAGGTAATTAACCGCTTGAATGCATCGATATGAGTCACAATAGAAAATAGTGTCTCGCGTGGTTCCACGTTTAGACACACAAAAGGTTAAATAAAAAAAAAACTATCTGTTTTGATAAATATCTTTATTTCGATAAACTCAACGTAATTACAACCTCAATGAATGAATGAATAAGAATGTGTCTATGTCTAAAAAACTGAGACGGTGAAATACTGGATGCATTGGGTACTTTCCTTAATCAAAAATAAATTATTTCGACTGTTCAATACAATAAAATATTAAAAAATAATCACACTTTCGTTAATTGATTTTATGACCAACTTAATATACCTATTTCCAGGAATTTTTTAAGAAATAAGTATGCTGTTTTACTTTAAAAAAACGTGACGTCACTACAGAATGTCATACAAAATTCTAATTTTGTTGTCAAATTTAAATGGCATTCGGCTACAGCTGCTGAACCTGAATTCTGTTAAAAACTGCTTACGTATAGACTGGCCTTTACTGCCGTTAGCTATAATTATTACGTCTGAAAGATGTTATCAATTCCTGTACTGAAACCGTACTGGCTGTTTAAACATTTTAACGGATGTGGCCTGTTCCTAATGTAAGTAAAGATAAGCAACTTTGATAGAGTTATTATAATGCGGACAATTTTATTTACCATTTGCTAGGTAAATTATTGATTTATTAATTTTAAAATAATGGATATTAAGGATATTATAAATAAATAAAATAAAATAAAATTCATTTATTCCAGGTGACCATAACCCATATTGTTACATTGTTATTGTTAATCATAAGTGTGAATTAATAACAACATGTAGTAGGTAATTGAAGACTAAAATTTTAGGAGTATTCAGTTATTTAATGGAGTTCTCATTCTTATTCATGTGTGGGTTCATCGTCAGTGAAACCGTGAAACCCAAAGGTTGGTTGTAAATATTGGAATCGTATTCTACTTTTTTTTCTTTATTTTCTAAGACAAATCAAATAGGTGATAAATAATTGTATATTTTAATAATTAAATATCTACCTAGCCTAATCATAGTTTTCTGTAACACACTTTAATTAAAGAACAAATTCTATGTATTAGATACCTAACCGCTAAATTTTTTTTCATTATGAGACAAAGGAATTATTAATAATAATAATAATAAGCCCGCAGGGCACCTTGAGGCGAGGTGACGGGCATTAGCGATCCCGCGGGCTAACATCATCCCGAGTGCTCCAGGGAGAAGTCACCGTTCCTTCTTCTCCGGCTTGCCTTAATTGGCTGGCTGGAGTGAACGATGACAAGGAACAGGTCTCCCACCTCTGGCTTGCCTTCATTGGCCGTCCAGAGTGGAGTCGCGAGAGCAGTGATCCTGCTCGGAGGGTAAGAAACTATCCGTAAGTCGCGAGTGGGCCAGGGATGCAGGAGGCTTCGGCTGGAGCAGATGATCTGAGTAGAAAGCGGTGGTAGTTTCTTAACCCTTCAGCCACTCACATTCTCGTTGCCCCTCTGTTGCTATATCTAGCAACCATTCCCGGGGCCCGGTCGGTGAGTTGGCGAGTCTCCGCCTGCCATTTTTACGTGTAAAAATTACATTGTTTCGGCAGGTGCCATAGTCATCCATAGTTCCCAATTTACCAGTCCATAGCAACCCATCCATAGCCCTACCTTTTTTTTTCCATTATTCACAATAGTCCTACACTAACCGGGGACTGTCCTTGGGTGCATTTCCATAGTGCATACAGGTATAGTCGCCGGTTTGTGTCTCCATTACATTTAGATTAAAGTTGTCTAAAGGGCCTCTGCGCAGTTGGCTTCGGCCCCTCGTACGCCTCCCAAATGACCGGGACCCTGTGGTCCCGTGAATGGTAAAGACATACAATAATAATAATAATATGCTTTATTGTACACCACACAATCACATTATAGGATAAATATTAACAAAAATAGTGTACAATGGGCGGTCTTATCGCACAAGGCGATTTCTTACAGACAACCTTTGGATGGAGCAGTAATAGGAGTCTGATATGGGTCGTCAAGTGTACAATAACTAATAACTTTATAAAGTACTATACACAGAATACAAAAATACAACTACAACTCAAAAAAAAATAAATAAAATAAATAAAAATAAAATAATACCTATACAATATACAATATGATACATAAATTACATAATGGTGTGTATTTGTGCATGTGTGTGTATGTGTGTGTATGTGTGTGTGTATTAATGTGATGCCTGACAAAAAAAGTTTTTTTTTCATACATTTATGGCCGAAAGAACTTGAACATTTTTTTTAAATCCTCCTAACTATGAACACTACCTACATTTAATATGTTGAAAGATACGAAAATATTATTTATTATTCTTATTGAAAATAGCATCTATTACTATGAAAATGTAGCTGAACTTTATGTAAGTAGATACAAGCAGTTAGGTGAGGAACATTATTTGAAAAACCTGAAAAGCTTTCTCTATCTACTTTACAGCTCTAAAAATTCATGCAATAATTTTTTATTTCTTTTTTTTTGTGATTGATTCAACACGTTTGTTGCTTGCTTTGTGAGAAATTGAAATTGAAAATATGCATGAGTTGCTTAATATCTATGATCATCATTTTAGCTTGGTTCCTTTTTCAAATTCGAATTGTTTTGGGATAATGGAATGGCCATTACCTTAGGGTGGTATCATACTACCCCATTACAAACATAAAAAGAAATTATGCATTGTTTATTAGACATATTGCTTGCATGACCACGTGGTTGTCGGTAATGTAGGTAAATGTGATACCGCCCTTAGGACTCTACACATTGAATCAAGGTATGCCAATCAGCTTTTAGTGTCAGTAAGTATGACTATCTTAGTCACCACTTGTTAAATTCATGATCTGTGGTTGTTCAGTGTGTAGGGTAGTCCACATCTGGTCCAAAGAATATCAGTATCAACTGTCATTTGAGATGGTCTCACATAAGAACGGGAGCTGAAACTTAACAGTACTGGCACCACGTTTCTATTAGGCACGCTCTTCGAACAATCCTTCTAGGATATGTAGATGTTATACTAACAAGATACTCCCATCCAATTCTTTGGTACAGATGTTAATGTTTAATCTAGGAGGTTTAGTCATAAGACTAGGAATACGGCGACTGAAGTGATAATCAGAAGGTCTAGTAGGTGCATTTCTTCTGCGCCTGAGCCGTAGTTGCAGAGGGAAGTGGTGCAGCATGAGGTACAGGCGTAGAGTTTCGTGCGCTCCCCGATGACGATGCACCCCGGCTCGCAGTGTTTCGTACAGTTGCGTTCCAACGCCCACATTTTTGGCAGCGTCGTCGAATTCTCAGTTGACGTCGTGAACGAGAATCTTTTCACCTGCAATTAATTTTGCGACTATAAAATTGTTTTGTATGTATGTATGTATGTATCCAAGTTTGTATAGAAATGTTCTGGAATAATTTCGAGTTTATTTTTGTGTACTGTCATGAGTGTCATGAATAAGTCGACAATCTAAAAACGCACTCAAAATCCGGGAATTGAACCGAAGATAATCAAACAAAAATCCAATCCTAAACAGCTAGATCGTGTGTACTTATACATCCAAAGAGGTTTGTACATTTATTCAATACCAACACATACACAGATTTGGAGAACACTCCCAATGTAATCCTGCGATCATTGTGGCAAAGTGGTGGTCCTGGCAGGGTATTGAATTGGAAACTTATTGCTACGAAGTGAAACCCAGAGTCATCGTATAAACTTAGCAAAGTTAGAAGACACATTACACACACGTATAGACACAAAGGACACACACACACACACCTACATGATAAGTAGTACCCACTGTCATTACCATGCACATCCTGCGATCATTGTGGCACTTGTGTATGAGTGCGGAGTTGTTGTGTCGTAGGTCAGCACAGCGGTCGTCTGGCACCTCTGCCAGGCACTTGTAGCACCACAGCTCATTGTTAGGTCTGGCTGCTGCTGACGTCACGTGGACACTGTCCCGAAGGAGGTCACATTCGCTTTCTGAAAAATACAAGGTGTCTATTGTATAATGATATATTTTTGTAAAGAAAGACGTTTTCGCACCACGATTAGGTGTGTACCGAGGGTTAAAGATAACTAGTTTGCTATATAGTAAATCTTTCTATTTTCTTTCAAAGTATGGCTTGCTGTTCAAGGTGATAATCTAACACTTTTTGCATTAAGATTAATTGAAGTCAAAGTCAGAGTAAAAAATTATTCATTTCAATGAGCTCAAAGACATTGGTAAGCCAAAACCCTAAAGATATATCGGTCCTAAGTTATATCCTATTTAATTTAATCTTATAGAAGTACATTTACAGAAATGTACTCCTTGAATTCTACTCGTATTTAGGTATTGTTCCTATCTACAGAGGTAAATACAAATACTACATGAAATATATGTTTACAGTTATCATAGGTATTAATAGTAGAGGCCATAATGCAATTTCTTGTAAATAATAAATGATACTGTTTTGATACAAAACAATGCAATACAGGCAAACTTTTAATATTGAGTAATGCTATATTTCTCAGACCTACGCAAGCAGTGGATAGATATATAAATGTAATATGAAATGATTACTTAATCAAATTAATATTTAATGAAGAAGCTCACATCTGGCCATCTTAGAATGTAAACATTGATCTGTCAAGAAATATTTCTAATACCCAAGTATTCTTGAATTCGATTTGATATTCCTAAAGTCCGAAATATTTGTGATATTTTTAACATATTGTTTAGGTAACAGAAGATCACTACAGCATCAAAATAGATCCTAAACAGAATTTAGTCCAGAATCAAAACAAAGAACGCGAGCCATAGACAATCAACTTTGACATTTGCGGTCCAAGATTAGTGGTTTGGGCTATGATAGGGATAGAGATCGCGAAACTAACAATAGCACTGATTTACCACTGTTATAGCATATCACTTTACACAAAATAATGAATTAAAAAGTTTATTTACATACCTGGGGCCAATAAAGGCAAGAAGAGCAGTATAAGGGAGCGCATGTTGGCTAACAATGCTCACTGCGCATGCCCCAGCTTCCGAGTATCGATCCTGTCTGGACCGGGACCTGTTGCAGGTCCCGGCTGGCTCCGCCCACCCTCCCCTCGGCTTCTCCCAAACACTTTGATCGAGTAAAACAATCTCAACTTTCAGAATTCTTTGGGAAATTATAACTTTGCCGGCGGTCGTTCCAGGAGGAACGTTTCTTAGAAGATAAACATAGAAATTCATTATTTTAATAAGGTATTGCAATTAAGTTTGAACGTACGCCTCGTTGATCTTATGGTTGGTAGTGTGGTAGAACTACGGACGCGGGTTCCTGGGTCAATTCTGAGTCATGTAAGATATTATTAAGCTCTCAGATGTGCGTATCCCATTAAGTATGATTACAATCATAGATTAAACCAAGAAAGAAAATAAATTAGGTACAATTAAACAAAAGTTTATTGAATAACACACATTGTGTTCTTACGTTGTCAGGAAATAGAGATAACTAATACAATTAGGTAGGAGACGAATGAGTAGGTTACATATCTTTCATTTCAGGAACACCTGATGTCTAATGGTCGCAGGTGATGTGAGTCATTAATATCATTAGGTACTAGCAAAGAGTAACTTTATGACTCTGAGCGACCCACGACCTAGAAATACATTAATATTTCAGAATACGAATGTACGTAGAAATTAGTTACTTAACTGAATAAATGACGACGAATATTCATGCCATGCCATAGTATTTTTGATAATTAAATATAACTGTGAACACCAACTTTTTAAAATGTAATTTCCTTTGTAATAAACCAGGATGCGCTCTATTACCGTTTGCATGACTTGTGCATGTTAACTTGCGAGGCGAGTCCTATTTTCTACCAATTGGTTCTCAGTTGGCGGTGATTGCAAATTGTCTATAAGCCGGGAGTACGATCTCTCCCGATCATTTTACCGTCACTCTTCGTTGAGCAGTCGCATTTAACTACGTAATTGGGTTTATTTCAATCGTTGCAAGTTTTGCAACGAAGGACATTGGACCGGCAAAATACTGTTTAGGGCTACTGTCCACGATGCATCATTTGATGATGCATGACCTGTAGCCCGTAGTCGTGAACGCATTTGGGCGCTTACTCTTGAATCCAATTCCGATCGATCGACATTGACATTGTGAAATTTCGTACCCTTGAGTTGCAGCACTAGTGCCCATTGCATTCGTATTGAGTGGATATTGAATGAATTAAATAGTATTGAGTTTGGCTTTATACTCTGGTGAATGCTACTTTAACAACTACGATAGGGGTTGTATAGTTCTGACATTGTGTTGTTGTTCTGAGATTTTATTGGATTGAAATTGCATTGACATTTAGATTGGTTTCAAGAGTAATCACCTAAGTTTTGATTCCCGCGTGGTGTGATGCGTTAAGTAGGTTTTATACGACTGTCGTAATGACACAATTATGTAATCATGAAGCTATCAGATTTCGTCGTAGGTAGGTACTGACAAAAACCATCAAATGAGAAACTTATTTATAGATAACAATATATAAAGTCCCACTCCAACCACCTATTTAAAAAAAAGGTGCAAGTACGTTCTTAGATCTATTAAACAAAATAAAACTGGTCTACATAATGTCGAGGGTAGGTAGGGTTGCAAATAAAGATAGGAACAATTTTATACCTATTTATCTAGATTTGTTATGTTATGAGTATATATAACAAGATGAACAATGTCAACGTGAAACAAATTTTCGATAGGAATGACGAAAAAGCAAAAGATTTTGTAAAACGTCCATTAGACTTGCCTCCATGTATATTTATTATTCCATGTATTTACAAATAGCAACAGGACCGAAGGGCCTATGTGTACACAAACCCCATCGGAGGAGGTCATTCCGTTGAGTAAACACACCTCGGGACTCCGGAGTTTATTTTTGTGTGCATATGTTTATTGATGTTTATTATTAGGTACCTGGTACATATTATATTTGTTTAAGGTACCTTAGGGATTGGAGCTGTTCTACATTTTTTTTTGATGGGGCAATATCTTCCAATTCCTTCTTCTGCCTTAGGTTAGACGAGAGGCAGTGTTAGACTTTTACTGACTAAGAACCTCCCCGTTACTACTCCTGTTCTTCGTGCCGGAGCCCCGGCAACCCGTTGGGACCTCCGCGGCTCCGTATCGGGTATTCTACGGCTAGGTTCCCATATGTAGGACTTTTTTTCGAAGGTTTACGTTTATAATGTTTTATTTTATTTTACACCTTATGTACGAGCATTCATTGATGGCATTCTTTAATAGTCTTTACCTTTTTCTTTTAACCAGGATGTCCTAGTTTTGATGAAACTGCCATAATCATTTTACTTAATTATAACATGTTTTTCATACATACATACCTAATATTACGCCTGTCTTTCATAGTTTTTTTTTAAGGGGGTAAATCATCGAATGACTGCTCCTGCCTGGGTGAGGCGGGAGGGAGTGTCAGACTTTTACTGACTAAAAACCACCCCGTTTCTTTTCCTGCACTTCGAGCCCCGGTAACCCGTTAGGTTCTCCGCGACTCCGAATCAGCATCAGCCCTATTGGGCCCTATCCGTAGTGGCCTGATGGCACTTTGAGGTGCGAGCGGAACGCGACGCGCCGTACGCTCGGGTCTGTTTCGGGAGCCACCCACACCAGTCTTTCATGAGAGAGAATATTGATCACCAATTGCTTATTAACATGTTTTTCAATTTATGTATTTTTTTAGGAGAGGGCCTCTGGTATCCTAACTCACACGGCCAAGAAACTCACAAAGCGTCGTTGTGTTTCACGCAAGCCGTGATACCACGTGGGACCTGGGTATCGGGCATACTAGTGACATCATTCTTATTCGTCTAATTCACCGGAACTGTAATCTTCAAGCTCACCATAATTGGTGACGGTTAGTTTCGAAAATTAAATCTCACATTCAAACTTAGTTACCTAAGTCAACTCAATACAGAAAACGCCATGGAAGGTTCCTAGTAATCAAGTTCAGCGGAGATTCAATCAGTAGTGGACAAATATTATTGTTTACTTATCTTGTTTATATCCTTCGTCAACTAAACATTTCTCATCTAAAGCCTTCTCTAACGGTAATAAAATTAGGAGGATGGCTTTGTGTATCTATAACATTCACATCAATCCACTTAAAAAGGCGAAATTCTTCATTAAATTTTTAACCTTATGTTGTAGTTTGAAGGTTGATAATCTGTAAAATATATCTTCAGTTGTAGTATAGCTTGATGTGCTTCGTATATCTCACGTGGAACGCCAAGCCCGACATAGCTGAGCGTCAATTATGTTAATATAGAAGGTATTTGGATTGCTCCTGTCAATGGTTAATAAAGAAAAGGAATTTCCTTCTGTCTCTAGTGCTCATTTAATTAATCGAGTTTACTTGGCTTTTATTTTTTGTAGTAGTTCGGTCTCAATGATGGACACTTCTTGTATTAATGCACAATGTGTTTAGCTAGGTACCTAATGTATTTTGTTAAGCAGTAAATGTATACCAGAATTGAAAGTTATATCATACAAACTTGTAAAAACAACAAAGAAGAAAATACGACGTTAAAATATCAATTTATATGAATATGTTGATTCAAACATATGTAGAGGTAGAGTAACGCTTAAAATAACAAGTGAAATTGGAGTTCGAAGTCTAATAATTTTATTTAGGTAAATACTGACAAACAGTTTAAAAAACGATTTATGATATAATACGAATCTATTAGAAGGAAACCATTAACACAACAACCAATATGATTTCCCTAGTGCCTTACTTAACATTCGATTTATTTAATTTTCTTGGCTTCGAACCGATAGGTGTCGATTGAAGTATGTGTTTAACTGAATAAATAAAGAGATCGGTGTCCTTAATAAGCACTTAATGAATAGCTGGGTGCTTGGTATATTGAACTATTGTGTGACAATCGTTTATCTTCCTTATTATGTTAAGTACAATAATCTCAGTGTTTCATAGTTTGCGGAGTACTACTCGAGAAAGCGTTTCTATGCCAGAGGGCTTTGATGACTGATTGGTTGGTTCATTGTAACCCCCCAATCAAAGTGCCCGTTCGGCACTCTCATTACGATTATTTTAAACGCAAAATGAACTCGTGTCTAGGTCTCAGATATGTGCGCACTTGTTTGTTCACATCGTGTGATTAGGACATTTGATGCTATTTTATCCGTGCCACACAATGTGAATACTTATGAATGAAGTAAATAAGTGTCCACAGTCATGTCTGGCATTAAGTAAGATGAGCCGACGTTTGGCCACGACGTATCTCGTTCGAGACGTATCTCGGCTGGTGGTAAGCGATGGAGCCGCTTACGATAGAGCATGTTTGACTATAAGCAACCTTTTCACTTCGACTTTGAAGACAGACTCTGGTAAAGAATTCCACTCCTTAGTAGTACTCACAAGGAAGCTTGATGCGAAGCGCTTCGTGCGTGATTGTGGGGACATCCATGCACCATGGTTCGGTAACGCTTCGCCGATTGTCTTGTGGTATGATCATGGAAAGGACTAGGGGGAATAAAGTGGCAAGATGTAGCTTTGATATTTGTTCACATAACAATAATAAATTAATAACGTGCCTTCAATAACCTTCAATACCCACATGGTTACTTAATTAGAACTGCTAGGTAGAAGTACACAAAGTAAATATTTATGGGAAGTGAACCTGTATAAATATATCACTATCAGGCACAATTGCAAACTCTGTGCCATTATTAAAAATATATCATAAATCCCCATTATCACTCGATTATTTAGGCGGTCACTGTGTATTTATTGGACTTTTTAAACTAAATATCATTAAGGCTTGGTATTGGGTAAGGAGTTATGGGTTATTCACCGGAAAATAGCCTCACCGAAATAGCAAACACCTTGACAAGTGAAAGTGCGGTCAGCCCTCACCGCACCACGTTACATATTCAACCGCTTCGATACATCAATATTTTGGACACGTTTCGTAATTTTGA